TAAAAGTAAAACTAGTTTTATGCCTTTAGCTCCAGTTCTACTCAGTAAGGAAACCACTCTGAAGAACTTCTTGATATCCATAGCCTTACATAGATTTTCCATGTTTATATTCATATGTCTCTTTGAACCAGATTAAAAATTGTTCCATACCTTTTATTCAGCRGTGTATYTTGTAATTTAACAAATATTTATATAGCCCATGCTATATGCTAGGTACTGTTTTTCATACAGCTATTCATTGTTTAAGTCTCATAAGAGCCTTGATGTTAGTTTCATGTGTGAAATGGATATTATATTGAGTCACATAAGTAAGGTTAAATGGTTTGGGTGGTTTCATAGTGGATAAGTAGCAGACCTGGGAGTTGARCAGCTGGGCTCCAGGGTGGACACAGCTATGCTCCCTTCCATGTACCTTGTAGTTCATTACATGCCTACGCATGAAGAGCTGCCACATGCTTTAAAAAGCTAGATAGTGTTTCATAATGGGGTTGACCAACACTTATTTAACCTATTTACTTTAGGTCTAAGTTTTCATAATTATAAATAATTCTCTATTATATATTGTATACACAAAATATTTCAGCAGAAGAGATTCATAGAAATGAAATAGCAGAGTTAAAGAAATGAATTTAGAAATTTTAACATGCAGCCAATTTAACCCACCACTAATCCCATGATAACCCCAAGGTGCCCTGAAGGCAAGTTTGTTACTACTGCTTTCTGTGTTGACTTGCATGTCCATGATCACTGACTGGGCTTTGAGGGGTGCTCAAAAACTGGATAGAAAACTTCAGCTACATCCAAACCTGGAGGGTTTGTTGTAACACAGATGGCTGGGCACAACCCCAAAGTTTGATTCAATAGGTTGGAAATGGGGCCTGTGAATTTGCATTTCTAATAATTCCTAGGAAAGACCTATGCCAGCTGATCTGAGGACCACATGTAGTCTAGAGTGAGCCTTGGAGTTTGGGCTTTTCTAAAAAGCTCTTCAAGTGATTCTAAAGTGCAGTCAGAATTAAGAAAAGCTGCTCTGAGTTTTCTCTGAGGAACCGTTCTTTGGATAGGACATATGTGAAAAGGGAGTATAATTTGCATGAAAATTCTCATCTAATGCATTGTTCTATACTTCTTAAAACTTTTGTCATATCTTACTCAGGCTTACCTATACKCCCAACTGCTCAGGAGGCTGAAGCAGAAGGATCACAAGTTCAAGGACAACCTGAACAACTTAGTGAGATTCCATCTCCAAATAAAAATTTTAAAAGGTAAGCATATATCCCAGTAGCAGAAMACTCTGTTAGTGTACACAAGGATCTGCATTCAATCCTCAGTACAGGGGAAAAAAATTTACACATTTTACCAGTTCCAGATCTCAGAACTAGAACAGGTAAACTCCTGGGCTCTCTCTACTCCTCAGGGTGATGTAATTTCCAGAGATACAAGACCTACACTATACTAGGCCGGTATAAGGTGGCAGAGGTTTTGTGACTTCTGGAAGCCTTTATCACAGGCTGTGTTCATACTAAGATAGTCAAAACTTTCAAGTGCTTGAGTTGAAGTCACTGTCTTCCCTGAGCCCCTTGTGTTCATCTAGCCTATCTGAGGCCATGCATTGGATGCTGGCAGACAGTGACTCACCTGATGCTTTAAAGTCTTATCCTAGTGTTTAATAGTGGCTTGCACTGTGTTGACAGCTAAGCACTTCCACTGGAAGTGTAGGAATTCCAGATCTGTGTCTGGGTGTACTTCCAGGTAGACTCTGAAATGGCTCTAACAAGCAGAACCACCCTGCAGGGTGCACAGGCTGTCCAATGTCCCGGACTTTAAGAAGCACCATCCTTCCCATTTGCTGACAGTTTCCTGGCAGATAGCAAAAGAATATGTAGACAAAGGGATGCCTTTTTCTAATTGTAACAGAGATCCTCTGTGACTTAATGGTGGCTCTGCTATCAATTTCCAAAGGACTGCACGAACACACAGTCCCAGCAGGCCTCTAGGAGTATTCGGATGTGCTTGTTACCATGGGTCTGAGGCTGAGCCCTCWCACTCACTTTGCTATTCTTCCCTCTCTCCAGAACAGATTTCTAGCTTGAAAAACCAGGATAGAAAAGGGACCCAGACTTTACCTGAAATGGAAAAGATCAAGAAACTGATTGGACAAGAGAAGATTGAAGCCCAAGTGACACTGGAAGAAAGGGAGGTATGATCTCCAGGAAAAAGAGGTTTTCCCCACCAAGCAAAAGAGAAAATCTGCAACCATATCCTGACACTGGCTTAATTGATTACTATATGCTGGGTACCATGCCAGATGCTTGATATGCATCATTTTAGGTAATCACCCCCTAAAAACTATTTTTCCCATTTACAAAGGAAGAAAATGAGGCCCAGAGATCAGGATGAACACTAGTGAATACAAATCTCCTGATACTAATGACTAGAGCAACTGTGGCTATCTTGTTCCCCMGTTTATCCCCAGTGCCCATACCCTCACTATTCAGAATGCAGCCTACGGACAAGCTGCATAGGCACCACCCAGGAGCTTGTGGGAAATTCAGAATCTCAGACGTCTCCCCAGCTCCAAAGAATCAGAATCTGCATTTTAACTATGTTTATGCAGGCTAACTATGCAGGCTAACATTGGGGGAAGCACTGGCCTGGAACTTTGCTGGCCTATAGGAAGAACTCAACAAGTACTCATCCAAAGTTGAAAGAATATACACCCTCATAGCTGCACACCTTTTAAATAGAGTGATCAAAGACACCTTCCCTCAAAAAAAAAAAAAAAAAAAACCTTTAGTTTTTCCAATGAAATTCCCAGAGATGTTTTCAGATATGTGCTTCTACAGTTTTTCAGGAATGTTTTCAGTGTTATGGACTCAAAGTTCAGCAAAAATCTCTGGCTTTATCCCTGAGTGTGTGTTAGAGATTGAAAGGGTCACTAAGAAGATCTTTTTCTAAAAATGATGCTGAACTAAAAAGGGAGTTGTGCTGTGACAGTTATGAGATGGTATAAAAGCCCTAAAGGTCCTTTTTCCTCCCARATGAATTTCATCAGTTTTACTCAACCTTCTGAATAGACACAAGGACACTATTATATAGCACCTAATAGCAGCACATGCCTGTAATCCTAGTGAGATCCTGACTCTAAATACCTCAGTGGTAAAGCAATTGCCTAGCTTTCTCAAAGCCCCTGGGTTAAATCCCCAGTACGGAGATATACATATGGAGATATGTGTGTGTGTGTGTGTGTGTGTGTGTGTGTGTGTATATAATCTGTATACTCACCGATAGAATGATTGTAAAAAGTGTAACAGTCAATTTGGGGAAGGGAACTTTTGGAAAATATAGTAATAGAAATTTAGACCTACAGAACTGCACTGGACAAGCATTGTCTGTTAAACYTCACCACTGCAATTCTGTAAGAAAGCTGCGATGCAGAAGAAGGTAAGTCCACATTACCCTTTATGAAGAGTTTTCAAGCGCACAGCTCTTGCTTTTTTATGCACAAATGTTGCCTGTGATCATCCTCATTTTATATAGAATCCCTTCAGGTGGCAGTGTGGTGTCTGATAGCAACATTTAGTTTCATCTTGTTGTTATCTTTGGCCTTCTGCATCCTGGCTGGGGGCTTTCTGAAGCTAACATCCTAACTAAAAAAAGTAAATTTTTATGGTATAAATGTAAACATTATAACCAGACAATGAGAAATATGTTTGAAAGAGGCGATTTTAGTCCTATGTAACATATAAGCATCTATGTATATTGAATCAACCAGGACTCACATCAAAGGTGATGACTTAAGACCACAGCGCTCATACCATTTAGTACCACTAGATGGCAATGCGTGCTATTAGCCTTTTCTCAAGTTGTATCTTCAGCCACATCATAAATACTCCATCCATTTGGACATATACTCCTGGCTTTGGATTATTTCTTTTCCTGGTTGAGCACTTGTGAAAAACATTATTATTTCTCCTTTTAATTCCATAAAACTCAAATTATCACAGGTCACCTTCTCTAAAAAGATTCACTTTCTCAGGGTATTCTAGAGGGTTAGAAGTGAAAGTTTCCTCCTGAAGAAACTATACCATTCTCTCTGAGGAAATTGCCATCCAACCATTTTGTTTTGTTTTCTATTGAAGGTAGTGTTCAAAGACTATGAAAGGAGGCCTTATGAAAATCTCTAGTCAATTTTACTTTTAACTTTTGATGGTATGTGTTAATCACTCCTCAGAGCAGGTTATAAAACATTACCCAAAGTTTCCGCTGCCCTCAGAACTGTCCAGAGTTAACTGAGCAACAGAGCATCATGCTTATGCCCTTATATAACATTAGCATGCTCCATGTGTGTGTTGCTTCTTCTTCTTTAAAGACATTTTATCTGTGAAACAAATTTTTAAAGATTTCATCAAACTTACACTGTTAGCATTGAATCTCCTTTAAAACATYCCTGGAAACAATTCCCTGACCTAGGCAACAATCAAAGGCTCARGGGATCTCTCCATGTGTTACAAGAATCCATTTGTAGTAATAGTACTCATTTAGGTAACAATGGCTCAAACTTAGTGCTATGTGTCTAGTGCATTCTAAATTCTTTTATTTGTTCTTTATATGACAATATTTGGGCACTATTCTATTTCTTGTTCTCTGAACACATTCAACTTCCAACCGTCTGAGATGTTGGAATTAAAAGATATAAGGTGGTAGTTTTGTCCCAACTTTGATACATTTATTGATTCACCCTGAAGATGGAATATGTTAGAAAAAAGTCAAGTGTAATAAATGTAAGCATATAAATATKTTACAGACAAGATTGAAAATTTCTATTTTTAAAAATTCCTTAGAATTCTTGTTCTTGAGCTAAGCTGAAAGACATTAGAATGTCAAAGCTGTTAGTGAAACGACAAAGCAATCATTCATTTTTCATGTCACCCAGTTCTCAGGTACCTGATTTGAACCTAGATCTTTCTCAATAAGTTTTGTCAAAATAATACTTCATTTATTTTTTTTAAACTTATTCCAGGGAGCTCTGAAAAATAATCTGGAAAGCAAGATTCTTCATTTCCAGTTAGAACTCATGGAAGCTAAAGCAGAATTTGAAAGTTTTAGAGAAAGAGGAAGAAATAGAAAGTTTTAGATAACTAAGATTATTTTGGAAAAGACAATAGTTATGTATTTCAGGATACTTGAATGAATAGGACTCACTGTGTTTGGCTGCTTTTCTGACCTCTTTTGGGATGTTACCAAAGAAACTAACACTGTAAGGGAATCTTCCACTAAATGCACCACTATTAACACAAGGGAATACCTTCATATAATTTTTTTTTTTTAAATTTAATCAGCTTCTGCTCTCAGATGTGACTCAGGATAACACATTCTTAAAAAGTGATGTATAAGGACCATGTGTATTATCTGGGTCCCCTGTGTCAAGTCTCTTCCTTCAGCATTCAAAAAACAGACTGAAAATGCTGAATTATGGAGGAAAGAACTAAAAAGTCGGGTGCTGTATATTAAGTAACATCAGAGCAGAGTGAGGTTTTCCCGCACCCCTGCCTGTACACTTAGCCTGTACATTTAGCTAAGAGCCTTATTGAATCTCTGTTGAAGCAGCTGAGTCTTAATAGGAAACTCAATTGGATGGGACTCAGGCACTTCTGGATCTTTCCATAACTTCCATATAACAAGCTGATGACTGTTGACATCGTATTTCTTAGCTTCTTGGGAAAGTTAGGGAATAAAGAAGCACCCACATGTTACAGAAGGTGGTAAGGAAGATCAGCAACCTGGTAATGGCAAAGCATTTCACATTCTACAGATCAAAGGCACAATTATAAACACATGGAATTGAGGATGATTATATTATCTATCTGAACTGTTCGTTAAGTCAAAGCTGTATGTCAGCAAAGAAAATCATTAGAGGTTCACCTGGAAATTTACTTTCAATGTGTTTGATTAAAAACAAATTTAATCCTGTTAACATGTTCAATTGACCACAGTCTGTTTTCTGTCCAAATTCCTATAGGGTCCCTATTTAATGAGAAAGTCAGGCCAAATTTGGCCCTCTCTGAGCTTTGAGTTATCTCTGCTCTCACTCACTGGCATTTTCCTTCAGAGAACTGACTATAGTGAGAAATTCTGGTCTACTTAAGAGGCTCTGAGTCAGTGTCTAAAATAATTTTTTTGATGAAGGCAAAATCTTTGGGCCTTGATGTTTGTCCTACTTCCTTCCAYGAGGAACAAAAATGAATGTCTCCTTTGTGTAGTTAAGAAAAAAATAATGTGACTACAGGTAACGTCAAATCTGTGCCTATAAATAAACCCAGTTAGGAAAGAATGAATCCTCAGAGAGTCTGTGTCTCATCAGGTACATCTGAATGCCAGAGAGCRGTTCACCAATTATAATAATCTTAGTGCTTTGGAAGCTGGAAATCCACACAGCTAAGGTTAAGAAAAGAAAGAACCAAAGAAGGTATGAGTGGTGAAGGGGCTGGAAAAAGAAGGGGCTGGCTGGAGGCGTTGGAGATGAGCTCTACCTAGTTTTAGTTAATGATTCATAGTAGCCATAATAAGTACATCTAGCATCCAGAAAGGAAAGATGAGCATATTTTTCAAAATATCCTGTATACAATTCCATACCATATCTGCTCTGTGAGTGCAGATTCTATCAAAATGCCTTGGTCGAATCTGACTTCAGGGCTAGGAGGAATCTGAGTAGACTGTCAGGGCTAAATATGCATAAGCATCAACTTCCAAGTAATCCAAAGTAAGCTGGAAATTATAGAGCTCAAAGAAAAACTTTCCTGAGAAAAGAAGAGGTTCAAGGTCTTACATCCACATAAACCATCAGCCTCCAGCTGAGCAATCTATTAAGACAGGACCCAGGGAGTTGAAGGGACCAGGAAAGCAGAGGAGAGACCCACAGGAAAAGGCCAGACCCTGGCAGTACAGCTGACTGTGAGGCCCTCAGCTCCTTGGCTGCTGAACTTGTTCTTAGTCTGGTGAGGACTAATCCTGACTGAGCATCCCAGAGTCCTGCTGGTGGTGTGTGTGTGTGATATAGTTCRCTTATTTGCAAATATTGGAGCTCTATGTTGGCAGGATACCAGGCCTARTATTCTAGTTAGGGCTTCTTACACTTTTATGGATGATACAACTATTTCATGTTTAATTTCTACAAATGTTACTATTGGCATAGCTAGAGGGARGGAGGTGACAGTGCAGTCACTGATGGAAGAACTTGGAGCTTTGGTGACTGAYTTTGATGCTCTCCCTCCTACACATAGGGGAGGAGGCCAGCTTAAAGGYGAGCCGGTGTCCATCATTGCTGTGGAGTCAACCCCGACCACCATGACTGGGCTGCGAACAAGGTAGTCACTTTCATCCTGTCCCAATGTTTCCCTGAAATGTTCAAATGGGTGAGAGTCATGCCACTGGCCTAGAATCCTGACACTTGGTCCATATACTACTCTCCACCCAGGGAGGTGCTTTGGGGAAGGAGGCCCTGAAATTTTATATTCTACCAAAATACATCTGTTTTGGTTTGATTACCTGTGGAAGGGATGGGCAAACATTTTCTGTAAAGGGTTAGCTATTAAATATTTTCAGCTCTGTGAGACACATGTTCTCTGTGGCAACCACCCAACTTTGAGGTTGTAGTTTAAAAGCAGTCCAACAAATGGGCACCATGGGATTTGGCTCACAGCCCATGGTTCTCCCACCCTGGTCTCAATCTTAAGTATCTAGTGRTGCTCCATCATTTTTTCCTTCCTCTGAACTCAATTATATCAAACTTTGCCACATGGTCTCAATTTATACRCACCATTTGATTTAATTTTTAATTGTCTGACTGAGTCTGTCAGGAGAATGTTTAAATCTCTTTCCATTTCTAAGAAAATATTTTTCATATCTTCAGAAAGTAGGGTCTCATTCTGATATGGTTAGCAAAAATACTTCATAGATCATTTAAAGGGGAATCACATGTCTTTGGATTATTGAGAATCTCATATTTCTGTGATATRGATAAACAACAGTGTGAGAAGATAAAAGAACTAGTGAACTGCCTTTAAAATAACTAGCTTTTCAAATTTTTAAGTTTTAATGTTGCTTGGATTTTTTTTGTTTTGTTTTCTTCATTTAGTTTCTTACATTTGAAAAACAAAAAGGAATGTCTTACTATATCATCATAATCTTAAGTACTTTGTTTTTCTTTTAAAAAAATGTGCTTGAGAGAGTTCTCATTTTAAAGATTTCTTGACCAGGCATGAAATGTGTTGATTGTTTAGCAGGCATTCTTCAGGGCTGTACCATTTCCATTCCTCTTAAACCACAGCATTGTTTGCTTTTGCAGGCACTCTTGACGTTTCATAGACAACTGTGAGGAAACTTGTATCTGAAACATTCAGTTTGCTGGCTGCAGAATGTGTTTCTAAGCAGAGGATTTTGACACCAGGCCAGCAATGCTTTTGTCTTCCTGTGTAGGGACAGTCGGTTGCAGCAGGAATGAAAGCCTCTGCCGTGGAAATCAGAGGAATGTCTTAAAGCTTT